ATTGGAGGAAAACGACTATGAATTAAGGGATAGGGATCATAGTTTGACTATTTATACCCTATTGATCTGAGCCCGCCGTATAAAAATCTCATGCGCCATGACTTGTAGATATTTCTCAACTTGTCTAATCATAACACAAAACGGATCCACCACATAAAATTCAGGGTACTGCACAAATAGTTTATCAGCATGCTTTTATTTTATTTTGTTTTATTTTATTTCTATTTTTCCTTCGTAAACTTTCGTGTACAGGCTTCTCACACACATTGACACGAATCATTGTTGGAAAGGTCTTATGAGACAGGATGAATTCAAACTTTATAACGTGAATGTTTGAAAAAGTAAATAGGTGAATCTGTTTTCATATAATAATTTAATTTTTTAATATATTTTTTATATTACTGAGTTCTGTTTATTAAGATTTTTAATATTTTTTAAATTTTTAATTTATTTTCATCAATTTTTTTAACAATAAGTAAACTTTTGTACAGAAATTATCCTTAACTAAAATTAAAACAACAAATTCAAATTCTAAAGACTTCAAAAAAAATACATGCCGGTCATGTAATTTTAAATTATTTTATTTATTTATTATTATTATATATTTTAATTAGGGGTATTTCAATCAAAAAAATTCTATGATTAAAAAAAAACAGATTGAAAACTTAAATGATATTTAAAAACATAATAAATGTAATTAAAAATATAAAAACAGATTGTAAATTCAAGCTATTATATATGAACAAATTGACCTATTTACTAGCTAAAATATATAGCTTTGGTTAATTTTAAGGGGTTATATATATATATAAGAATGATTTGGAAAATTACTAACTTAAAAGAATGAGAGCTAGATTTGGGATGTGGCCTGACACTAAAAAAATTGGTTTGATTTTGTCAAAACTAATATACAATTTTTATTAGTTATAGATAATTAATAATTATTATTTTTTATTAATATCAAATTTGAATTTATTTGACTTAAAAAAACCATCGATTAGTTAATCTAAGGCTAGATATGTTCTAATACTAGCTTAATCAAAATGTGATGGATTTAATCTTCGTTAACTTAAAAATATACTTAGAAAATATTCTACTATCTTTAAACTCTATTTAAAAAAGAAAAAAAAATGGCAGCAACAGCAATCTTAATCACCTCCTAGATTCGTCCGTCCAATCATATTTAGACCGAAAGTTAGGACGCTTCTACGAGAAAAATTAATTAAATATAAATAGTTTTCTTATCCAATTATGTAATATATCAATCTTATATCGTGACTAGCTCGAACATCAAATCTTAGAGTAAAGAATTCTCTCTGTATCAGCAGAAGCAAGCTCTTGGAAGCGTATTCACATGCTTTCGTGCCACTAGCACATTCAAGGAGCTACAGGACATGACATGACGGGTCCATGTTAGTTGAGGATATTTTTTAAAGCTGAGACTTAAACAAGTAGAAGACAAGCATTGGCATGCCCACACCTAAAAAATACAAACGATATGATAGAAGAAGTCATGGATTATATATATAATACCGCAAGGCATGTGGGATGTATGTGCGGCTGTAATTTCCCCAAATCAGAATTTGAGAGTTTGAAAGTTTCAGATATTTTAAATGCTGGGGGCTGGGGACAGGTATGTTTTAAACTCTTCAGCATTTGAAGGATAGCGAGAAAACTCAATTTATCCAATTTTTCAATGCACACACCGTCTTTATCATTGTAAAAACATTTGCAAGCTCTGTTTGCCTATCTATTGTTTTTATCTCTTGCATGCATGATTAAGTGTTTGCTTATAGATAGAAGCAAAAGAAAAAAAACAATTATGACTGCTGCCTCTCTACCTCTAACTTGCATATTTGTCTAATAACTATAAGTTACCAGTAAGATTTTGCCTCTCGTCCTTGAAAATCCAGTCATGTTTTATCATTACTCATTTGGCTTTTCTCTACTTATGCCAAGAGGAATCAAAGAGACAAACTGTGATATATCTTTTACTTGTAAAAAAAAGGGTAAGGTCCTTGAAAACACCTACTTATCGCGCTATATAATCATGATTAAGATGCACTGCATAAAATGTTTCAGAAGTGTGAGAAAAATAATAATAAAAGTTAGAGATGGGAAAAGGCGAAACTTCTCATATATATATATATATATATATAACGATGGCATTGATTCATAATTAATTTATTCTCATCAAGAGATCATTTTAAATATATATTTTTTGAACAACAAAATCATTGTATAATCTCACTCTTACTAATTAACTTCAAAAGGTGGCATGATGGTAAAAAAACTGTGATTTCTTTTTTTAACTTTATGAGTTTGAATTTTGAAGTCAACACTCAAAATTTATTTATTTTGATTGCACCAGTCTAATATAAAAACAATTCTTAAAATTGTGTAGAAGGAGAGTTAGTTTTGATTAAAATGTAAATTGATTATATAAAAAAAAATGTTTTATCATAAAAAAATAAAATAAAAAGTCTACATCCTTAGTTAATAATTAACATTGTCACACAAAGAGATTTCCTTCCAACCTCTTCTATCCACGAGTTAGGCTGTTTGCTCCACTTGATTATTTTACAGTATTGATTGGACCACACATACGTATGTGCATACTTATATATATATATACGTGGAATACGAAACAGGTGCAGGCCATACACTCATGCATAAGGAATGCCAACACCTGAAATTTGTATTAGGATAAAATCTCAATCACAACAGTAGTGGACTAGATATGGCTAGCCAGTCAGTGCAGAGAGAAGAGAAAATATAATCAAACGAGGAATCATTGAATTTCCAGAACAAAAACGAAAATGGGAAATTTATACATACATACATACATATATATATATATATATATATATATATAAAGAAAAAAAAAAAAAAAGAAGATCAGCAATGTTGTTGTCGTAAAGCTAAGAAGCATCAATTAATCTTTCTATCATTCAAGCACATTAATCTTGATTTCCTGCAAAGACTTTGTCTGGAATATCTTGTTCACTGGCCTACACTGGCTTATGCTCAGGAGTGCCCATTTGATTTTATTCTATAACTTTGTGGCCCTACTGCTTTTGATCTCTCCCTCCCTCACCCCTTGGCTACCGTTTGCAAAACCAATATTCAATACCATATATTACCTTATCACATACACTAAAACATTACATTATTAATACATCACACTACTACAACAACCTAGCTTTCCCACTTCTCTCTCTCTCTCTCTCTCTCTGTCTCTCTCTCTATATATCAAAATATTACTCACAAAAAACATTGCAAGCTAGTCCAGCTTTTTTCTTGCCTCCTTCCTTCACAGCCTGTCAAGCTTGAATTATTAACACCATCATTATATATATATATATATACACATATTTTTTTTTTTTTAACTTAAGGTTTGCTTTGTTGTTCCTCAAAGCAAGGGAGAGCTAGCTAGCTAGACTAATTCAAATATGGGTGATTTTCTTGTACCTGATGTTTACCAGTCATCATAATATCTTCTCCGATTTCAGCACCGCAGCTGCACTCCGTAGGTTGCTCCGTCCATATTGGGAAAACCAAAAAAAAAAAAAAAAATGAGTTATGGAAGCTCACGAGTGGCTTAAGGGCTTGTTGGTTTTTCAACTTTTCTTTTTCTAGAATAGACAAGCTGGTGGCATGAAGGAGGAAGATGTTCAATGAGCATGGTAGGAAAGTTCTGCGATCTGATCACTTTATATTGCAGGTGAGGAGAATTGTAGAGTAGTTATCCTTTTCTTGATCTGATTTGGACCTGAGAGTAATGGAAGTTAATTAATGTTGTTGCATGTTTAATTAATGTTGTTGCATGTTTTTTTGTGTCTTATATCATTACTCATTAGTACTAAGAAATTTTGAAACTGCATCCTAAAGTTTTTGTTTTGAAAGATGGCCTATAAAGCCAGCATTCATGATCTTTTTGATTTCTGTATTGATTATTTGTGATTTCCATGATAGCTAATATTATAGTATCTGAAAATTTTATTTCATATAATTAAGAATACGAAGTGCAAAATTCGTATGGAGTCTTCTCTTTCTCCCATCTCATAGCTATCCAGTTTCCTGTACACTTATGTTTCTATATTTTATTGCTTTATGGCTCTAAACTAAGCTTCAGTATCAAAAGAAGGATTTTTAACTGTTCTGTGATTTCATCATGTGAATATTGAAAAGGGGTGGTTTGGGAAGAAACAGAAAGAAGTGGACACTTTTCTAGAACAAATTCCCTGAAGATCAAGACCATCGTTTTGGCTAGTGATTGTCCCACCAGTTAGAAAGAGAGAGAGAGAGAGACCCACAACCCATGTTTGGTCTCTCTATTGCCCACATCCCATTTTCCCTTTACATCCTTCTTCATTGTCTGGGCACTGCTTTGTTACACTTTCAGATCTCCCAATGCAATTTTGAGCAGTTCCTTTTGTCCCCCCCACCATGCTCAATTTCAACAGAAACCGTCACTTTACTTTTTCGAAGACAAAATTAGTTTAGCATGATTTAAAATATAGCAAAGCAATCTAATCTTTGTAATAATTGCTTCTATCTAGATCAAGAAAAAAAAGTGAACAAGATAAAGTCTGTTTGTATAATGTGGGTCGAATTGAAGAAGATCTGGTTTAAAAGATGTTTTTGGATTTGTTTCTTGCATTTTAAGTTTTACTTTATCAAAATTTGATATGGCTCAAAATTAGCAAAATCTTTTCTAGATCACTTTGGTTCCCAGATGTCCCATAAAGACTTTAGGTCAACTGCCCTCTTTGTCCACCCCTACGTAGTGGCATTTGATAAATCCACCACATTCATAGAGTAGATAATGGAAACAGATGAAAAAGAGGAAAAGCATGTGATGGATCTCATCCATCTCCATGAGTTCCATTATAGATTATTTTCTTGCCGTTTTATATTTTCTTGATGAAATTGGAGTTGCTAGATTCTCTGTACTCTCTTAGATTAATACGAAGTTTGATTGTCCTATAATTTCAGGGATGGGAACCAAACTTGAATATGTCATCAATCTTCTAGCAACTTCACAAAATATCAGGAGCATTAGTGTACATTGTGTGGATGATCTGGAATATTTGCAGATCAGGGGTCTGAATAAGAACCTTCAAGTTAGTAGGATAGGCAAGTTTTGCAGCTCTATGGACAGGATGCCTGACAAACACAATATAGACTTCATCAAGAAGACAATGCAGTTGCATGACGATATCTTCAAACAACAGGTGAGTGTTCAAGTCTCGTTTAACATCTGAGAATGAATGTTTTCTAGCGATCAATGTGTTAGCTGAAACCTGTTTACTTCGAAGAAAAAGAGAAAAAAAAAAAAAAAGTTCTATATTTGGCCATTTTGACATCACTACTTTCCAGGGAATAGTTTCCTGCTGAAAATACTGAGGCCAGTGTACTGTTATGCATTTCATCATTCCAAGTCAGGCCTAGAACCCTCTGAGCAATGTATAAATAGCTTTAATTACAGAATCATTTCTCTTTTCTTCCACTGGCTAGCCCCACTAGCATAAAATCAGATTACTGTCAATGCTAAGGAACTTGAACGCTGATTGCAGAAATTTAATTAACCGTAAAATGTAACTTGCAGGTAAGGGAACTCCATAGGCTGTACAGTGTTCAAAAGCTGTTGATGGATGAGTTGAAGAAGAAAGAAATTACACAAAACCAGAAGTACTGGAGTCCAATGTCTAGCTCAGATATTAACTGCTCTCGATTCGTTAACCGGACTAATTCAACAGCACAAACCCCTTGTGGTTATAGTTTTCACATTCAAAGCCAGGGAGACGATCCAAGTTCAAGAGAAAGAAGTGGCAGCTGCTCAGGTGAGACGGTGAGAATGACAAGGGGATTCGATCTTGAAAGGCCTGCCGAGGAAGATATATCAACTGGAGTTAGTTCCATGGACGAGAACCAAGCAGGGCCAAGCTCTTTTCAACCCCAAAAAAGAAAAATGAGCATTGATGGATCTGATGAAGATAGTGAAGTGGAGCTGACATTAAGCATTGGAGGTAGCACTACAAACAAGAAGATATCCAAAAACTACAAGACGCTTGAACTTGATTCTCCTGCCTCGTTTAAATCTGAACGAGGAGAGGATTGCAGCACTCCAACAACCCCAATGAGCAGCTCTAGTGCAACAAGCGATCAGGACAGAAAAAGGCCGCTTTGGCTTTTCCAGAGTTTAAGCATAAATAGGACTTGAACTTTTGACAATATGTGTATGTATCCTTCTAAAACTCCACTTGACTCGGACCAATAAGAACCTATGGTCTCTGAATTGAGATTCTTCAATATTCAGTTCCAACCCCAACCTAATAATGGATTTTGAGGAACCCTTATCTGGGGTATTACATTGGTTGTGAATAGGACATCTACAGAGATTTGCCAATCTAGCTACCTTTTCTTTTCAAGTCCATAAGTTCAGTATTTGTAATTTCAGTTCCATGCAACTGGAAAGCATTGTTTTAGTTATTCTGTACAATTTGACAAGATGATTGGATCTTAGTTTGTAAGCTTTTCCAATTTCAGACATGTAAGAGCAGATTAAAGAAAGAAATTAATGAGAATAATGTGTTGGCCTACAAAAGAAAACCAGCAGGTGTGTATCCGATGAATGACCAAATAGGTGTCCTCTCTCGAATACATTTAAGGATGATGATTACAACCAACTTGGGAATAAGAGTTCAAGAAACTTTTGTCCCCCTTTTTTTTCTTTTTCAGTTTCCTGCCGCTAAATAATGTTTTGAAAGCAACAGGTAGTAGAATTGCAAAATTGACAATTAATATATCACAGATTGTGCTTCTTGCAGTCATAATTGTCAGAATGTGCCAAGTGGGGCAGAAGGAATTCCATCGATTTAGTTTTGTCTTCAAATGCTTGTCACTCGTTTCAAAATGTTTCAGGCCAGATGGTGCCTGACTAAAACACAGCTTTCTCTTTTACTTTACTGTTGTATCCTTTAGGCGAGGAACAGTGTTGCTCACCGCATAATCTATGTAAGATCAACTCGCCCGTCCAACTGATCAAACGGTGGAGCAAAAATAAATGGAAGAAGATGTACTATAATTTAAACACGTGCTTAATCATTTTAGGGACTTAAAATCTGGCAACTTTTTAAACACTCCTTTATGATTCCTCCCTCAAGCATGCCCCTGATGCAGATTAACAGCCCCTAGGGTCGTGCTTACAAATTGAAAATATAACATAATTTTTAAGGATAATGGGGACCCCACTTTGCTAAAATGGTCAAACAGGGAGGGAAGAAAACACAGCTCAGATACAACTAGTGGATTATCCATGCTGTGCTGAAGATCCAATAGAATAAAAATATTTTAAAATTTTTAATTTTTAATTAAAATTTTATGTTTGATTAATTTTTTTATATTTTATATAAATTTTTTACTTAAAAAAATAATTCATTATTTTTTATTATTTATTCTTAAATAAAAAACTTATAATAATTTAAACTGAAATATTAATCTAAAATAAAAAATATATATTATATAAGTTTATATCTAAAAAATAAAACTATATTTAATGTATAGAATTGTATAAAAATTAATAAATAAGAAATAAATTTTTATTTTTTTTAATATTGATGAGAAGATTATTTTTTGAAAGTATATGCATTTGATTTACATATTTTTATTCACAAAATAATTACCAATGTTAGCATAAAAAATTATATTTGAATCATTTGGTGATTCTTTTAAAAAAATTATTCTGATCATTTTATTTCAAAAAAAAATTATTTCTATAATATTAAAAAATAATAATAAATTAATGTCGATGTTATGTGTATAAATATATAGCTAATTTTTAATATAGGTGAAGATTTAATATTTTTTATACATAATGACTATATTGGTTGGTTAAGAGTCCGCAACATAAATAAAAAAAACATAAACAAGAGGCAAATTATCTAAAAAAAATATCATATATATTTCATCATCGCTAAACTGCATAGAAAAAAAAATAATCTTCCATAATTTTTTTCTCAAAAATCCATAACCAAAAAAAAAAAAAAGCAAAAAAACAAAATCAATTATTAAGGGAGGGAAAAAAACTAGCTAGGGAGTAAGCACGTGTACTTGAGCCTGGTTTCGAGCCCAAGCAAGCCACCCCTTTTACCCCCTTTGAAGAGAAGAGAGAGAAAAAAAAAAAAAAAACTAAACGACACATCATCCGCATTTTGGGTAGGAGATGACGTGATGTTTGTTTGTAATTTTTGACGAACTATAGTTCGTCCGAAACATTGTCGAAAAACTAAGTTTTTAATTTCTAGCCTCTTTAAATTCAAATTCAATCCCATTTTTGTCCAAAAGCATCTTAAAATCACAAAAACAACGTCAATAAACTCATTTAGAATATCAAAATCTATCTTAAAATATACAAAATATATAAAAATTTAAATAAAATAAAAAAGAAACTCAAACACTTTTTGGTTTTGATTTATCCTATCTAATCATTTCATGATTTACAACTACCACAAACGAATTTAAGACAAATAAATTAATTGTGAGCTCGATGCTCGAGATAGTCGAAATAGGCTCAGCTATGTGACCATGTCCCAATTGGCATACATAAATTTAAAAGCCACGTGCCGATTGGAATCAATGTGTATTTGCGCACTAAAACACCGCATTTTAATCAAAATGATGAGTTTTCAAGATCTTAAGTAAAACAATGTGTTTGGTTTCACAAACCAACCAATATCAATGAACAAAGTTTAAGATAAAACCCGATAATTATTCATGCTCAAATTTGAAACTCTAGACAATTATCAATCAATAAACTCGTTTAAAAGAAAGAAGATAAAGAGAGAGAAGGACACGAGATTTCAATAAAAAATTCTTTTTATCCAAACTTCCTGTAGAATAGTTTCACATTACTATAAGTTAAATTTATAGTATTTGTCTTTCTTTCTAGTGGCTTAGAAGTTTCAATTTTAATTGTGACCCAATGGCTTCAATGTCATCAAGAATTATTGATGTAAGTATTGTATCCGTCGATTTATAATATTTATATCTCAATTATTTCTTTGAATGTTGTTTTTTTTAGTACCAACATTCTTGTTTATTTCATTTAATTACTCAAATCAAACCATCATGGAAAAGTCCTAGTAGCGTACTAAGTAGTATTGAACTCCTTTATTTCCTCGCGAAAGACTTGGTTACAAATTAAAGTGTCAATCTACTCCATATTTTAGATCAAATTTGATGAGCAACAATAAGTTTTGACGACCACAATGGGAGGTCAATGTCGAAGCGTGATGTTACTAGAAGTATGACGAAACGTCCAACTTTTGGAGAGGACCAAATTGACGAAGCACAACCAATTTTTATCGAAGGAAATGTCTAAGTTTGTTAAGGTGTACCTCTTAAAGAAAAGCAAAACATAGGAACCACACTAGTGGATAGACTATGGATAATCAAGAGGAATTGCCTAAAGAAGTGATAGATAAAAGCCATAATAATGGCCAAAACAAGTTTGGAATCAAAAGTCGAGAACCTATAAACTTAGAAAAGAGCGATACTTTTACCAATAAGAGACAAGATGTTACGATGAAAGAACCAAACTCGAACTTTCGATAGATATTGTCGAAACAAACAAAAAAGCGCTCAACAAAATCTATGATCCAACAATGGACATAGGTACTCAAATAAATCGACACTTACAATCGATGTCAAATCGACTTGAGGAAGATATCGGTAGAATAAAGGCTTTCATACTTGAATCATCACAAAAGACATCAATATAGATAATAACTACACTATCGAAATAATAGAATGTTTACGTTATCACGATGATAGAGTGATTGTAGATATGAATCACTTGTTCGGTGAAATTATTAGCCCATTGGCAAGAAAAATGGCAAAAAAGTAGAAATTACCATTAAACCAAGGTTCGACACAACCGTAAGTGCCACTCGACCGATGAGGAAAGATGTCGGAGACTTGTTAGTTACGACGAAGGAAAAGGGAAAGAATCGAGTTGAAGATCGGCATATAGTATCACCCATCATGGCAACGAGATATTCCTCTAGGATACCCATCTATTGTTTCTAATAGAGCATTCGACGAGTATGAGTGGTTAAGATCCATCACAGAGTATGTAGGAGCAAACTTATTATGGCCAAATTAATGGTTATCCTCCTCATCCACCCCGAGTTTCTCGTTATCGACCAAACTAATGGCTATCTACCCCATGCACCTCCGGTTAGCCAAACTAAAGGCTATCCTCTTCGAGTACCCCTTGTTAGCTAAAATAATGGCTATCCATCTCAAATACCTTTTGTTAACCAAGCTCATGTTACCTTTCCGTAGCATAATATTATAGCCCAATTCCAAATATTCCCCCAAGACTTATAAATAATTTCCCATTACGGAATGTGCCAAACATGGCTACGGTGGTAGGAAACAACACAACGCCATAAGCTTGGTCTTGAAAATGCTTATGGGGATATGAATCAGGAAGTACTAGCCAATATAATTGAAAGAATGTATGGGCCTCATATGCAAAGGGTTAATCAACCCATTTATAGGAAGCTATATCTTGATTACATCGCCCTTTCCCAAGAGGATTTAGGGATCCCGAATTCATTTTATTCTCTAGTGAAGATAATATTTTTGCTTTAGAACATGTCGCTAGGTTCACCTATCGAGTGTGGAGAATTGTCAAAAGATGATTTCTTAAAGCTGCATCTTTTCCCTAGTTCTCCGATCTGCAACTGCTTTAACTTGGTACATTAATTTATTACCAAATTCCATCCTTACATGATAGGATATGTAGAATGTTTTTCAAGCACAGTTTTTAAGAACGGATCCTAAGGTTTCAACAACGGAACTAGCCAAGTTAACACGAGTGTTAGGTTGAATCGGTAAAACAATTCTTGTCAAGATTCGGGAAAGCTAGAGTTCAATGTCGAGTCAATTTATCCGAGAATGAGTTCTTATGTTTTGCTTAGAATGGCTTAGAAGAAATTCGAAGGTATGGTCTTCTAAAACCTATATGAGTTAACGAAAGAGCTTTCGGGTTTGAAGCAATCCTGTGAGAAGAATCACTGCGAAGAAATACTATGGTTGGAACGTATTATCAAGATTCTACCACGAGTTGATGTTAACTTTGTAGAATATGTGAAAGAAAAACCAATAGTATGTAAACAAGTTGGCTAGGAAGAATGTCCAAGCTCCTGCGAGTTT